TACGTATCACTCTTTCTTATATTTGTGAATAAGTAATGTTGTTGTGAAGAGTTGAAATAAAATAAAATAAAGTAAAATATTACCATGATAGGATGTTGTGGGAGCTGTGAAAAACACAAAGATGATGAAACGAAATTACTTATCCCTGTTTCTAACACTTGTGAATGAGAAATTTTGTTCTGAAGTGTTGTAATAAAATAAAACAAAATAAAATAAAATAACAAAATAAAATAAAAATATTAAATAGTTCTGCAATGTTTTAATAAAATAAAATATTAAATTGTTTATCTGTGCAAAATTACTTATTCCTCTTTCTTACACTTGTGAATGAGTAATGCTGTTCTCAAGCATTAAAATTAAATAAATAAAATAAAAACATTAATTCTGAAGTGTTATAAAAATATAAAAAAATACACTAAAATATGCAACAAAGATAAAAAATATATTTAAAAAAATATATAAAATATAAAAAAATAAAGATAGTCTGTGTGTACAAAACGTACCATCACAATAGGGTGTTTTGGGTGGTTACTGGGACATAGTTATGCCTTCTCTAAGGTCTAGAGTGATTCCTGGGACATTGTAAGGTGGTTGCTAAAATGTTCTAGGAGGTTAGGGTGTTACTTACTAGTTCAAGTCAAAACAGCAAGTCCCCTCAGGTCTCTATGATACTCTGATCTCTTCTTCAGTGTGCTTCTATATGATTGACAATCATTCATGTCTATAGCACAAACAATGCAAGACAAGTTATTACACCAAAGTTTAATACTTTAATACTTTTAACCTTCTCTAAAGATTCATTAGAGAAATAATTGATCTTCTCTGAAATGAAACATTCATTTAAAAGATGAAGATATAATTAAATCAAAGTGTTAATTGTTCATGCTTTCACGCTGCACTGTAAAAAAAATTCCGTAAAATTTACGGTAAAAAACCGGCAGCTGTGGTTGCCGGAATTTTAGGTGGTGATGAGAAAGTCACATGATGAACCAAAGCCCATCACAAGCAGCTTTTAAATAATAACATATAGAGAAGGTGCACATTGTCATTCACACAAACACCATCATGGTAACACACATGAAACTGAAATAATGCAATAAACATTCATTTAACAACATTAGGTGTAACACACAACCCTAATGTACAAAACTGATCAGAAAAAAACTAAGAAGAAACATAGTTATTTCAACAAAAAAACATCAAATTTGAAATGTAACGCAGGGAATTCTGGGAATGTCAATTTACGGTTATTCACTGCAAGTTGTACAGTCTTTTTCACTTCCAAAAATGGTATACTACCATAAAATTAATGTCCAATACATGTAATGTCCAATACAGTTTTTCACCGTATATAGTAGGGTAATTTACCGTTAACCATTTAACAGGTTTTTACTGTAGCATTTTTACAGTCTTTTACCGTTAAATTCACGGTCATTTTTTACAGTGTGGGCATCAATTTAACTTTTATTCTACTTTTATTCTAGAAAATTCATCACCATGACTAACATTTGACTTTGATGTCTGTTTTTCCTCATTTTCCAAAGTTTCAGGACAACATTAATTGATTTTGAAGGCAGACACAGGAATCTAATTTGAGCGCTGGCAAAGATACACAATCAAGTATGACAAACGCATAAGAAAAAGAAAGGAATTAGTCATTACGCACACACATGACAGAACTGATGAGACCGTTACAAAAGATGCAAACTGTAATTGCTGTTGTTGGTTTATGAGTCTCATATTTGGGGTGAGGTCCTCACCTGCACTCTTGGTCCTGCTTGTTACCCATGATGCCTACAAACGAAAAAAAAGAGGTCTAGGTTTCATTTTACTCGAGTGAAATAACTGAGCCCAAATTAGATGTGTCAAATGAAGAGATATGCGAACGCTTTCTCACAGTGGTGGTCTCTAAAAGCTTTGGCACTGGATGAAAATCACAAACATTTCCCCAGAACAAATGTGACATCCTTAACAGTTACCCTGTGATGTTTTAACTAGGGAGCCATGGAGACTTCCAGCGGATGAGAAGTCTTGCACATTTGAAACAGATGGTGGCTATGCTTTTACACTCATTAGAGGCATCCGCATAAACTGAACCAAAACACCGTGGTAAAACACAAAACTACTGCAGCGTTTCAAACGTATGTGGAAGTAAACCTTGAATATTTCCCCTCAGACACCTGTTGAATCAACTCTGAACATGTTTTAATTCTCCTAACGAGTGAAGATTTTCTGGCAGGCTTTGAAATAGAAACTCCTACTCATCAATTAAAGTGTTTAGCATTAAATGAATTGTAGCGGTAGCTTGCAAAGAGCTAGCAGCTGCTGTCTTATCCTCCTGTAATACATCAATATGTCGGTTTAAGCCCTCTATGTACTTTTAAACAACATGTTGCATTCCTCATCGTGCTTATCTCGCTCCATAGAAAAACGGGTTCGTCTCTCTAACTGTAAACACTAGGCTAAACACCTTTCCCGCACTCGGCCCTGACAAGATTAGAGTTTCAAAAGACTTCCTCAGTCGAAGGCACTTCGCTGACCAACACGAATCGCTCGAGCGGAAATGTACGAGATTACATGTTGATTCGCTAATTGCCGGCTGGCTTAATGCATCAAGGAAGAAGCCTTTAATTGGTCCCTTTGTGGAAGCAGCAGTTCTGATTATGATGTCGCGATCAAGAGGGAATGTTTTGGGAAAACTTTCCCGCCGCTGTTAAGTAATTGATAACCAAAGGCTTCCATGGCACAAATCTCAGCACAGCTGATCCAGCGAAATCCTAAGCAGGAACGCTGATTCATTGCATGCTACACCAAAATGCAATCTTATCTCTGGCTAAAATGTACGTCTGTGCTGTCTGGGTGTTTATTTTTTTCCAGAGCATCAGATTTTTTTTTTCAAGGTTTTCATTCATAGGTGTAATGATTTATGAACACCCGGGGGCAGTGTTCACTTCAGAAAAATCTGAGCTGGGAGACCAGTGGAGACAGACAGAACTGAGGTGGATCTTCTCAACCAATGTGGAAATATGCCAAGAACACAGAGATCTTCACTGCACTGCGGTGCATGTGTTATAAAAACAGCCCTGGAGTCATCCCATGTCAACGTAATCACAACTACTTCCTGTTTCTCCTGTCTCTCTTACTAAATTGGAGGTGGCACTTCATATTTTCATTCAGCACAATACCAGCACTTCTCCAGTTAGCTCAGTCGACACTTAGATAAATATTACATGAAGAACAGTAATAGCTGACACAGCCATTGAAATTTAATAGGTTACTTATTATGGACAAGATCCTTGAATGATGTCTCTGTTCTGGTCCTTCAGCTAAACATATCCTTATTCAGGATGTTCATGGTTTTATAATATCACCTGTATAAAGTCAAAACTTGCCATAATTGGTTCTAAAAGCCTATAAATATTAACTTTTCTCATTTCACATCACATGTAGAGTGATTTTACCACTGGTAAGGGGTGTATAAAATCACTGAAACACATGGCAAGCAGCTTACTGCATTAAGGCAGCAAGAGTAAAATAGAGTTCAATAAATAGTAGTAGGAGTAATGATAAATATATACACATTTATTGTCAATAATAAAATAGTATTAAAGGGGTCATATGATGCGGTTTCAAGTTTTCCTTTCTCTTTGGAGTGTTACAAGCTGTTCGTGAATAGATAAGATCCCTAAAGCTGCAAAGACTAAAGTCTCAAACCCAAAGAGATACTCTTTATAAAAGTTAAGACTGGTTCACGCCCTCCTCGTTTAAACACGCTCCCTCATGTCTACGTCACTGTGTGGGAAGATTTGCATAACACTGCCCAAATGTATATGCAAAGAAAGAAGGCGTAACTTTGATTCTCGCTGTAGTATTGTTGTTGCCGCCGCCGCCATGTTGTGGCACAGACTGTAAGTACGTTTTCATTTAAAGGATTTGCCACTGACGATTCAAACGCGAGTTTTGAGCAGTGTAGAGTAGCGCTTGTTGTTTGTCATTTCTCCGATCACAAATGCAGACATGGTTTTATG